TTTTTTTTTTTTTTTTTTTTTTTTGAGAGAGTCTTGCTCTGTCGCCAGGCTGAGTCATCCGCCCACCTCAATCTGCCAAAGTGCTGGGATTATAGGTGTGAGCCATCGTGCTGGCCTAGATAATTTCTTATTCAAATTGTTTCTCAAACTGAAAAGTTACAGATAACACCGCCTACCTGGCAGAGTTGTTGGGAAGAGTAAATGGCAGCCTAGAACTGGCCGGGCCTAGATGAGAGTTAGTTCCCCTCCTAACTTGAACATCCCCTTTTCCTTAAAGCCTACCCAGTTCAATGCTTGCTCCCTCCTCACACCTTTATACAGCATCCTGTGGAGACCGGATCACATTGCCTCATGCTGCTGCTTCTCCCTGTTGGTTTGTAAATTCAAGTTCGGAGACTCTTTCTAAACTCTGATACACACCAAGGCCTGGCTGTGCTGACACTGACAGTCCCAGTCCATTGCCTACTGGATACGTAATCTTTGGTAATTTGACCCATCTCTGCCTCAGTTCCCTCATCTGAAAGTAGAGAATTGGATTCTCCACTTTATAGGATTCCTGGAAGGCTGAAATTGGCTATAGAAGTGGTGCACTTAAAAATGGGCTGCCATATAGAAGTATTTGCTATTATGGTCATACCATGTCCCCTCCTCTACATCATTTCTTCACCAAATGGAAGAGACAAGAGGATTGCTTGAACTCAGGAGTTCGAGATCAGCCTGGACAACACGGCAAAACTCTATGTCTACCAAAATTAAAAACTAGCCAGGTGTGGTGGCACATGCCTATAATCCCAGCTACTGGGGAAGCTGAAGTGGGAGGATTGCCTGAGCCCAGATCGAGGCTGTAGTGATCTCCTGGGCTCAAGCAATGGGCTTTGTGTATATATATTTAAAAAAAAAAAAAAAAAAAAAAAAAAAGGTGGAGCACGGCGACTCACGCCTGTAATCCCAGCACTTTGGGAGGCCGAGGGGGGCGGATCACCTGAGGTCAGGAGTGTGAGATTAGACTGGCCAAAATGGTGAAACCCCATCTCTACTAAAAATACAAAAGAAATTAGCTGCCGTAGTGGCACATGCCTGTAGTCTCAGCCACTCAGGAGGCTAAAGTAGGAGAATTGCTTGAACCTAGGAGGCAGAGGTTGCAGTGAGCCAAGGTGGTGCCATGGCACTCCAGCCTGGGCGACAAGAGCAAAACTCCATCTCAAAAAAGAGCGAGTCGAGCAAAACTTTGTAGTCTGCCTACTCTCCCTTCTAATTCTCTATCCCTGCTATCATCTAAATTTCCAGGAACTCCTGGTCCACTTCGAACCGCTAGATGGCCAAGCTCCAGGGTGATAATTTCCTTAGACAAGCAAACACCTCAGCCCTGTAACAGGGTATTTCCTGGGGCTGGAATATCCACAGGAAGTCCTGTGAGGAAGAGCTCTGCCAAAACACTCCTTCCAAGGAAGGGACTGGTAAAGTGACAAATTTGCTCAATCCTGTACAACATCCTACATCCTCCACATGTGGCCCCGGCTGCAGGTCTCATCCACAGGCAGGTCGCTGCTGACTCTATTCCTTTTCTCTGGGTTCCTGGGATGCATAAATATGACCCTATATAAGAAAACTAGAGGCCGGGCACGGTATCTCATGCTGGTAATCCTAGCACTTTGAGAAGCCGAGGTGAGAGGGTTATGAGGTCAGGAGTTAGAGATCAGCCCGGCCAATATGGGGAAATCGTCTCAACTAAAAATACAAAAATTATCCGGGTACAGTGGCGGGCACCTGTAATCCTAGCTACTCGGGAGGCTGAGGCAGGAAAATTGCTTGAACCCGGGAGACTGAGGTTGCAGTGAACTGAGATCTCGCCACTGCACCCAGCCTGGGTGACAGTGCAGGAGTCCGTCTTGAGGAAAGAAGAAAACAAAAGCATACAGATAAAAAGTTGCACTTACAAAGCGGCTGAGTCATTTATTGGCATTAGGAAAGCATTCCTTTAAACAAGGGAGGAGATCCTGAACACACTAGTCTCACTGAGTTTATAAAAATTTGAGTCCACCAAACTCCCCATCGTCTCTACACAGCTTAACCCCATGGACAGGAGCAAGAATTCGAGTTAAATGAATGGAACCAGTCCAGCTATAAGACGATAAAGGGAAACAGAGCGTGGGGATTTGTAGTTTTTGCTTTTACATTACAAAGTTTCCAACGCAAGAAGCCAACAATACCCCAGAGCAGCACCAAGTTACTTCCCACTGTTTCCCAAGGCACAAAAATCAGTAGTCCAAGTTCTAAGAACATTTCCTGGAAAACAAGGACGCACCTCCCGTGGCTCTGTGCACGGCCTGCCCTTGATGTATCAAGTTCTTAAGAACCTACAACCGTCTGACACCCTTGGGGAGAGCACCCTCAGAGAATCTCCAACATTAGGTCTCAGTTTTCCCATCTGTAGAAGACAGCCGTGGAGTGGGAGAGCCGCTAGGCTTCCAGATCGAAGTCATCGCGCTCCTCGTTGTACTCCAGCACGTGCCGCTTGATCTTGGACGAGTCGACCCAAGTGACAAAGTCCTCCATGCTGCGGGTAACAAGGAAGGCGGGGTCGGTAACCACGTCAGGGCCCACGCGTATGTGGCCTTGCTCCACAAAGGCCACGGCAGCCTGAAGGTGCTGCGCCATGCGTAGCTTGAGGAGCACGGTGGGAAGGCGGCGGCGGCAGAAGGAGGAGGCCGTGACGAAGTCGCAGAGCTCCAGCGAACCGCGCGTGGGCACCAGGCCGAGAGCATACAGCTTGTCCAGCAGCGCAGCGGAAGCACGCACGCGGAACGGGTCGCGCTCGGGCAGGTCGCGCAGGCGCCGCGCCAGCTCACGCACGGCACGGCTCAGCTGGTTGTAGCGCGTGTAGTCCTCCCGCCGCTGTAGCCGGTAACGCCGCAGCACGCGGAGCTCGTGCAGGTTGTGATCGGTGACCTCCCAGTTCAGAAAGTCCACCTGCTTCAGCAGCTTCTGCTCGTGGAACTTAAGCTTCCGCACCATGATGGCGGAAGCCGCAGCTGCAGGACCCGAAGCTGAGAGCGCGTTCTGACGCCTGCGCGATTTCAGCCACGGCGCGCCAAGACCTGGAAGCCCTGGGACCCTGGGCCAATGAAAGAAAAGCTTAGGGTCACGCCCTCACTTCCCATTGGTCAGGGTGAGACCACGCCTCTGCACCGGCATCTCGCGTTTCTTCTTTTCTTCGCGTTTGGTGAAGGAGAGAGTAGATGCACCGGAGGGAGGTGGCGCGGCCGGGTCTCCAGGAGGCTCGGCGTAGGTTTTAGTAGCCAAGACTATCCCTTTGTGCAGGCATCACTTCCTGCTAGACTAATGCCCTTTGGGGACTGTTACAGTCTTCCGCGCTAGAGCTGGAGGTCATTTTTGGGGAAAAGGGGGTGACTGTGGCTTGTTGATTGGGTTTGCTGTGCTAACTGGGCTCCTGCGGTGCCGTGGGAGTGCTTGCGGGAGGGGGCTGACCTGGTAGTTCCTGCGGGCCGCCAGCGTCAGGTCTTTTTTTTTTTTTTTTTTTTTTTTTTTTTTTGAGACGGAGTTTCTTTCTTGTTGCCTAGGCTGGAGTGCAGTGGCGTGATCTCCGCTTACTGCAACCTCTGCCTCCCAGGTTCAAGAGTTCTCCTCCCTCAGCCTCCTGAGTAGCTGGGATTACAAGCATGGGCTGCCACGCTGGCTAATTTTGTATTTTAGTAGAGACGAGGTTTCTCCACATTAGTCAAGCTGGTCTCGAACTCCTGATCTCAGCTGATCCGCTCACTTGGCAGGCGGAGCGATTTTTCACTGTCAAGTTGGACCAGGTGGCACCGAACTCATGAAATACTGATTGCCTGGCTGCTTCCTAGGAGCACAGAACCGGGATCTATAAGGGAGCCGCCTGGAAATCTGTATTATTAACGAAAGTGTCAGATGATTCATAAAAAAACAGCAAGTTTGAGAAACTTGGACTATAAGCAGAAGTCCAAATCCTTTAGTCTGTGCTCAAATGAATTATCTTGACATGCATCTCTGACCACCAAGCATTGAGTTAGCAAATTTAATGCTGTTTGGGCTAGTTGCATCAGTAAATTAATCTGAGTGCAGCGCTGCAGACCTAACCCCTTTTTGCCCAGGCATTTGACGCCACCTAGCTTCTCTCTGATCATTTTTGTTTTGTATTCTTTTTATTGTCTTTTACAATACAATATTTGGGGGCCCGGCGCAGTGGCTCATGCCGGTAATCCCAGCACTTTGGAAGGCTGAGGTGGGAGGATCATTTAAGGCCAGGAGTTCAAGACCAGCCTAGGGAAAAAAAAAAAAAAATTGAGATCCCGCCTCTGTAAAGAATCTTAAAGAATTAGCCAGGCATGGTAGTGCATGCCTGTAGTCCTGACTACCTGGGAGGCTGAGGAAGGAGAATCGCTTGAATCCAGGACTTGTTGGCTGCAGTGAGCTATGATCGTGCCACTGCACCCCAGCTTGCACAACAGAGCCAGACCCTGTCTCTAAAAAAAAAAATAAAAGATTTGATGTCTGGAAAATAATATACATAGCATATAAATTATAAAGTATAATAAATACTCATGAACTTAGCCAGTTTAAGAAAACATCACCGCCGGGCGCGGTGGCTCAAGCCTGTAATCCCAGCACTTTGGGAGGCCAAGGCGGGTGGATCACGAGGTCAACAGATCGAGACCATCCTGGTCAACATGGTGAAACCCCGTCTCTACTAAAAATACAAAAAATTAGCTGGGCATGGCGGTGCGTGCCTGTAATCCCAGCTACTCAGGAGGCTGAGGCAGGAGAATTGCCTGAACCCAGGAGGCGGAGGTTGCGGTGAGCCGAGATCGCGCCATTGCACTCCAGCCTGGATAACAAGAGCAAAACTCCGTCCCGAAAAAAAAAAAAGAAAACATCACCAGGCTGGGCATGGTGACTGATGCCTGTAATCCCAACATTTTGGGAGGCCAAGGTGGGAGGATATCTGGAGCCCAGGAGTTCAAGACCAGCCTGGGCAACATAGTGAGACTCAGTCCCTGCGGGGGAAAAAACAAATTAGCCAGGCATGGTGGCAGCACCTATAGTTCCAGCTACTGGTGGGGGTTTGGAGGTAAGACTGTAGAGGATTCCCTGAGGCCAGGAGTTCAAGGCTGCAGTGAGCCATGATCACACCACTGCTCTCCAGCTTGAGGAACAGAACAAGATCCTGTCTCTAAAACAAACAGAAAACTGTTACAGATTGTTTGCTTTTTTAAATCTAATTGATTTTTTTTTTTTTTTTTTTTTGAGATGGAGTCTTGCTCTATTGCCCAGGCTGGAGTGCAGTGGCGCAATCTCGGCTCACTGCAACTTCTGCCTCCTGGGTTCAAGCTGTTCTCCTGCCTCAGCCTCCTGAGTAGCTGGGACTACAGGTGTGTACTACCATACCTGGCTAATTTTTGTATTTTTAGTAGAGATCGGTTTTACCATGTTTGCCAGGCTGGTCTCGAACTCCTGACCTCAGGCGATCCGTCTGCCTCGGCCTCCTGCAGTCCTGGGCCTCTCAAGTAGCTGGGATCACAGGTGCCCAACACCACGCCCTGCTAATTTTTGTATTTTTAGTAGAGATGGGATTTCACCATGTTGGTCAGGCTGGTCTTGAATTCTTGAGCTCAGGTGATCCACCTGCCTTGGCCTCCCAAAGTGCTGGGATTACAGGCATGAGCCACCATGCCTGGCCACTAATTTTTAAATTTTTTATAGAGATGGGGTCTCACTATGTTGTCATGGCTGGTCTTGAACTCCTGGGCTGAAACAATCCTCTTACCTCAGGCTCCCGAAGTGCTGGGATTACAAGCATAAGCCACCATGCCCAGCTGAGAAATTTAATTTGGGACATGTTGGGTTGGAGGCATCAATTAGACTTCTGAGGGGAGATGTCAAGGAGAAATATATATGAGTTAGGAGGTGTTTTGTGTGTGTGTGTGTGTGTTTGAGATGGAGTTCTTGTTGCCCAGGCTGGAGTGCAGTGGTGTGATCTCGGCTTACTGCAACTTCCCCCTCCCGGATTCAAGCAATTCTCCTCCCTCAGCCTCCTGAGTAGCTGGGATTACAAGCATGCACCGCCACACTGGCTAACTTTGTATTTTTAATAGAGATGGAGTTTCTCCATATGCTGGTCTCAAACTCCCGATCTCAGGTGATCTGCTTGCCTCAGCCTCCCAAAGTTCTGGGATTACAGGCATAAGCCACCATGCCTGGCCCAGGAGTTTTTTTTAAAAGGACTGGAAATTTTAAAAATTGGGCATTACTAGCATGAGTGATATTTGAAGTCATTCGGCTGGATGAGACCATCATAGGGAGTGACTATGGATGCAAAAGACACCACTCTGCTGTGGTCACTCTAATGTTAGGAATTATTGGAAGCTGGGCATGGTGGCTCACATAGGTAACCCCAGCACTTAGGGAGGCCGAGGTGGGAGGATCATGAGGTCAGGAGATGGAGACCATCCTGGCCAACATGGTGAAATCCCGTCTCTACTAAAAATACAAAAAGTAGCTGGGTGTGATGGCATGTGCCTATAGTCCCAGCTACTTGGGAGGCTGAGGCAGGAGAATCGCTTGAATCTGGGAGGCAGAGGATGCAGGGATCCAACATTGTACTACTACACTCCAGCCTGGAAACAGAGCTAGACTCCATCTCAATTAAAATAAAAGAAAAAAATAATTATTGAAGAGGACAGAGGATGAGAAGGGACACCAGGAGAGTTATGTTCTCGCCAATGCAAATGAAGAAAGTGTATCCAGGAGGAAGAAGTGATCAAGCAGGTCAAATGCTACGGAGAGACTAAATAAGAGAAGGACTGAGAATAACCATAGGGTCCAGCAACACCGAGGCTACTGATGACCTTGACAAGAATAGTTCAGTGGAGTGTGGAAGTAAAAGGCTGCCTAGAGGGATTTAAACAGAGAACAGGAAAAAGAAATTGGAGGCACCTAGTATAGATAGCTATTTCAAGGAATTTTGCTGCAAAGGTGAGGAGAGAAATGGGGCAATAGCTGGTGGGGAAAGTGGAGTCAAAAAATATTTTTTAAACATGTGGGTTGACACCTCCCTCAACAACTGCGACTGATTGGTTGTGATTCCAGTCTATTCTACCTCCCAAAGCTCTCCCATTTTCTCCTCTGCAGCCCTGTTACTCCTGCCCGGTGTCAGGCCCTCATCATCTTTTGTCTGCATTCCTACAGTAATAGCCCAGTGTATCCTGCAGGCTGCCACCAGCAGGGTCAGTTTGAAAACCACTGGGCACAGTTCTTCCTTGCTGTCTCCTTTCCTAAAGGATGAAAATTGGATGCCTGGGTGAAGGATGGATGCTGTTTCCTGTGTATGAATCAGGGTCCCAGCAGGAAAGAGAGAACACACCCCAATAAGAATAATGTGAGAGGCCGGGTGTGGTGGCTCACGCTTGTAATCCCAGCACTTTGAGAGGCTGAGGCAGGAGGATCGCTTGAGCCCAGGAGTTTGAGATCAGCCTGGGCAACATGGCAAAACCCCGTCTCTACAAAAAATACAAAAGTTGGCTTGGTGTGGTGGTGTGCACTTGTAGTTCCAGCTACTTGGGAGACTGAAATGGGAGGATCGCCTGAGTCCAGGGAGGTTGAAGCTACAGCGAGCTATGATTATACCACTGTACTGCAGCCTGGGCATCAGAGTGAGACCCTGTCTCAAAAATAAAAGGAAAAGAAAAAAATAATGTGAGACTTGACGTAAAGGGACTGTTTCCATAGGAATGGGCAGGGTACAGGGAGATCACAAGGGTTAGTGCAGTTTCTTGAGACTGGTAACATGGGGCTCTGTTACCCCTAGGCCTGAAGAAGGTCCCTGGAGGGGATGAAATGGGAAAATACGGGTTCTGGATACCTCTGTGAGGCTGAAGAGTGAGTTCTTCCCAAGAACCTGGAAAAAAGGGTGTCACCTGAGAGTTACAAAAAAACCCAATCAGAACACATGTGGAAGTAAATCCAAGATGGCTGGTCTGTAAATATGTGACTGAGTATTTGGGAAGCAACTAAAGGCCGTCAAGGGTGGCAGCTGAGGATGCTTTGGGGAGGCGGGGCTGGAGGGGGACCCTATTGGGTGAATAGAAATCCCAGTTGTATTGAGTAAGCTAATAAAGTGTTTACAGGAGTGTCTAGCACTTAGCAAGCACTAAGGAAGTAGATGCGTTTTTAAAATCTTTTTTGGGGGGAGACAGGATCTCACTCTGTCCCCCAGGCTGGAGTATAATGGCATATACAATGGCACGATCTTGGCTCACTGGCCTCTGACTTCTAGCAACCTTACCTGGCCGATGCTATTTTTTTTTTTGTTTTTCTTTTTTTGGAGACAGAGTCTTGCTCTGTCACCCAGGCTGGAGTACAGTAGCGCAATCTAGGCTCACTGCAACCTCTGCCTCCCAGGTTCAAGTGATTCTCCTGTCTCAGCCTCCTGAGTAGCTGGGATTACAGGTTATGTGCCATCACACCTGGCTAATTTTTGTATTTTTAGTAGAGACGGGGTTTCACCATGTTAGTCAGGCTGGTCTCCAACTCCTGACCTTGCGATCTGCCTGCCTCAGCCTCCCAAAGTGCTGGGATTACAGGCATGAGCCACCATGCCAGGCCAGGAAACAAGGCTTTAAAGTACTTGACTGAGAAACTTGTCACACGTTTTCCCCTCTTGGGGGTTCCAGGCTCACTGAGCTAAATTTCTGGTAACTGGGCTTCCCAAGGAGTAGCCCAAATTGCCTTGATCTATTGATGCAGAAATTCAGTTCTGCTTGACAGTTTTATTTCTCTGTGCAAATTAATACCTAGGTTTCCGGGGTTTGTACATAGGCCTTTATTCTGGTCAAATGCCAGACCTGCAAAGGGAGTTCAATCCACTCACTGAACCAGTGAAACTGGATTTTGGAGCCAGAGGTCTGGGAACCACGTCCCTCGAAACAGCCAAAGGTATTCATCTTTAGCAGAACTACCTTGTACCAGTTAATCTGCAACAAGTGAGTAGAGAGAGAATGAAGGGAAGATCTAGCTAGACAGGGCAGACAAGACTCCAGAGATAGCCAGGAAAGGAGGTCCTCCTGAAGCCTTTGCCTCACCTTAGGCACCTCCTCCTTCAGGAAACCTTCCTTGATCCTTGCTTCACCCAGGCTGGGGTAGGTACCCTCACGTGCACTTTTCATGGCACTAGTCACACTGGGCAGGGAGCATCTACTTGTCACAACACATCTGAGCTTTTGGAAGGTAAGGGTGATGTCTTATTTCTTTGTAGTTCAGGGGCCTGGTGCAGAGTAGGTAGGTACTCAATGTTTCTTTTTTTTTTTTTTTTTTTTTTGAGACGGAGTTTCACTCATGTTACCCAGGCTGGAGTGCAATGGCGCGATCTTGGCTCACCGCAACCTCCGCCTCCTGGGTTCAGGCAATTCTCCTGCCTCAGCCTCCTGAGTAGCTGGGATTACAGGCACGCACCGCCATGCCCAGCTAATTTTTTGTATTTTTAGTAGAGACGGGGTTTCACCATGTTGACCAGGATGGTCTCGATCTGTTGACCTCGTGATCCACCCGCCTTGGCCTCCCAAAGTGCTGGGATTACAGGCTTGAGCCACCGCGCCCGGCCCTATGTTTCTTGAGTGCCTAACTTGACTGAATGAATGAATAAGACAGAATGGATTAATTAAAGACAAAAGAGGGTGGACGGTAAGCCCTCCAGGGTGGGAACCCCGACTGCCCGTGGTGTGCTCCCCAGTGCCCAGCACAGTGCCTAGCAGAGTCAGTGCCGGAAGTGACCCAGGGTCAGATCCCACTTGCCTCTTCTCGAAGATTCTCTACCTGACCACTTCTCTCCTTGCTGCCACTGGCTAGGACAGAACATGCATTCTCTGCTGCCCACTCAGCAACCCGGAACCGGGTCGCACCTAGACTTGTTCCCTGTCGCTGCAGATGTAGGGTAGTGTGTTCCCCACTACCCACCGCCCCCTCAGCCCAGGTAGTCGCCCAGGACAGGGTCTCCCGGTCTGGCTAGGGTGCTGCACCCGCAGCTATCGGTATCTTAGGTCAGATGCCTGGAACGCGCAGGCCGTTTCTGCCCCTCCGGAAAACAATCTCCGAGCTGCGCCACCATCCCGTCTCGGCGAAGCAGGAGTGGGGAATGGGAAGGTGGGAAGGCGAGTCCGCGACTCTGCTCCCCAACCCCAGCTGGCGCGGCTTTCCACGCACCCCCCGATCCCCCGATCCTGGCTCTGGCGCGGTGCTCCTTGCAGCCCCACGCTTTGCAAACTTTCTGAGTTTTACTCCATTTGCGTCACGGAAAAGGCAGGAGGATGACGGAGTCCAGGAAGCGAGGCAGCGGCGGCTGGCAAGCTCCCCCGCCGCGCGCTCCAACCACGGGGGCGTGAGGTGTCTCCGGCGAGGGCTGACAGGCGGAGGGAGAGCCGGGGAGGTGGCGGTCCCAGGGAGCAGCCCCGGGGGCTCTCGGGCCCCCTGGTTCCCGGGTCGTCTCCTCCCTCTCGCCTCCCGGACTGAGCGCCAGCGAGCCAGGGCGCCGGCCAGATGGGAAGCAGCGCGGAGGAGTAGGCGGGAGCTCCGCTGCAGCGCCCGGGGCCCGCGGGAGGGCGGAGCCGGCCGTCCCAGCCTGCCGGGACGCACGGAAGCGCGGCGGAGTTTGCCGGAGTCTCCAGCCTGCTTTCCCCTCCCTCCTCGCTCTCTCCACCCCTCACCTCCCTCTCTCCACCCCTCACCTCCCCTTCAGCGATCCCCTCCTCCCTCAGGACGCCACCTCCCGGAATCGCCTTTTTGTTTTGGAGCTGCCGTCTCGCTCGCGGCGCGGAGGGTCTGCGAGCGCGGGGGAAGGCCGGCTGGGGGCGCAGCCCGGCGCCCACTGACCGGGCCCCGTGGGGCCGAGCGGAGGACTGACGGACGGCCGCGCCATCTGCTCGCCGGGGCTCACTCTCCAAACTCCTGTTGAGTGTTTGCGTGCACGCGAGGGTGGGGGGCGGGGGTCGTACGTCCCGGGGGCGGGACTGGATTCTGCTGGGGTTACCTTTGGACGGGGTTCCTAGGATTCAGAGCAGGGTCAGCATCAGGCTCAGAAACTGCTGGGGAATTGGGCAAACAAAAGAGACCACTCAGCGAGTGGCCAGAAGTCGCCCGAGCGCCTCGTCGCGCCCCCTCCCTCCTCCGGGGTTGGAGCTGGCCACTTTTGGGGCGGAGAGAGGGCGCCCGAGCCGGCGGGGGCTCCGGCTGCGCAGCCAGGGTCGAAGAGTTGGCGGCCTGTTGTGTAAGCCTCAGTCCTTGTTTTCCCGGCCTGGCTCGTTGTGAAGCCGGACACATCACCCTTGGACTTGATTCAGGAGGCTGCTGCTTTTCTCCTTGCCCCTCTTGGATTTTCCGGATTTTTGAAAACCCAGTGGCCCAGGAGCAAGAGGAGGAGGAAGGAGGAAGGGGCAGATCTGCAGAGGAATGTGAGAGCCTCGCAAAGCCAGAGCGGCCAAAAGGATCTGGGAGCCAGAGGGACGGCCGAGCCCTGCCCGGGTTTCTGGAATGAGTGAGTCTCTTCTATTTTAGAGCGTTGTTCCAGTGGAAAATGTAGAATTCTTCCCCTCGAAGAGCAGGTTTCTTCAGGTCACTTGATTTTTCTTCTGGGAGTAGGAGGAAGGAGAGACTCCCTTCTAACTCCCCGGGGGCCGATAAGAGAGGAGGAGACTGTGGACAGGAGCCCTCCCTGCTCACAGACCTATGCCCGGAGACCTGATAGGGCAGTTTCTGGGCCATGGACATTGCTTTGAAGAGCAGGAGGCTGGACAGCATCTGTGGGTGCTGAGACCCCGCCTTAGGGCCTGAGAGGCAGGCTGAGCTGAGTGAGTGGCATCAGCCGCGAGTTCGTTCTTGGATGCCCTTGTGAGCATCCCGGGTCTGGGCAGGACCCCCTCCTTCCCATCTTTCTTCACCACCCAGCCCAACCATGGCACTGAAAGGCCGAGCCCTCTATGACTTTCGCAGTGAGAACAAGGAGGAAATCAGCATCCAGCAGGATGAGGACCTGGTCATCTTTAGTGAGACCTCTCTGGATGGCTGGCTGCAGGGCCAGAACAGCCGTGGCGAGACAGGGCTCTTTCCTGCGTCTTATGTGGAGATCGTCCGTTCGGGCATCAGTACGAACCATGCTGACTACTCCAGCAGCCCTGCAGGCTCTCCGGGGACCCAGGTGAGCTTGTACAATAGCCCCACTGTGGCCAGCCCGGCCAGGAGTGGTGGGGGCAGTGGCTTCCTTTCAAACCAGGGTAGCTTCGAGGAGGATGATGATGATGACTGGGATGACTGGGACGACGGCTGCACGGTGGTGGAGGAGCCACGGGCTGGTGGGCTGGGCACCAACGGGCACCCTCCCCTCAACCTCTCCTACCCTGGTGCCTACCCCAGCCAGCACATGGCCTTCCGGCCCAAGCCACCGCTGGAGCGGCAGGACAGCCTGGCATCTGCCAAGCGAGGCAGTGTGGTGGGCCGTAACCTCAACCGTTTCTCATGCTTTGTGCGTTCTGGAGTGGAGGCCTTCATCCTGGGTGATGTGCCCATGATGGCCAAGATCGCTGAGACATACTCCATTGAAATGGGCCCTCGTGGCCCCCAGTGGAAGGCCAACCCCCACCCATTTGCCTGCTCTGTGGAGGACCCCACCAAACAGACCAAGTTCAAGGGCATCAAAAGCTACATCTCCTACAAGCTCACACCCACCCATGCTGCCTCACCGGTCTACCGGCGCTACAAACACTTTGACTGGCTCTATAACCGCCTGCTACACAAGTTCACTGTCATCTCGGTGCCCCACCTGCCTGAGAAGCAGGCCACAGGCCGCTTCGAGGAGGACTTCATTGAAAAGCGGAAGCGGAGACTCATCCTCTGGATGGACCACATGACCAGCCACCCTGTGCTCTCCCAGTATGAAGGCTTCCAGCATTTCCTCAGCTGCCTGGATGACAAGCAGTGGAAGATGGGGAAACGCCGGGCGGAGAAGGATGAGATGGTGGGTGCCAGCTTCTTGCTCACCTTCCAGATCCCCACGGAGCACCAGGACCTGCAGGACGTGGAAGATCGCGTGGATGCCTTCAAAGCCTTCAGTAAGAAGATGGACGACTGCGTCCTGCAGCTCAGCACTGTGGCGTCAGAGCTGGTGCGCAAACATGTTGGGGGCTTCCGCAAGGAATTCCAGAAGCTGGGCAATGCCTTCCAGGCCATCAGTTATTCCTTCCAGATGGACCCCCCCTTTTGCTCTGAGGCCCTCAACAGCGCCATTTCTCACACGGGCCGTACCTATGAAGCCATCGGCGAGATGTTTGCTGAGCAGCCCAAGAATGACCTCTTCCAGATGCTGGACACGCTGTCTCTCTACCAGGGCCTGCTCTCCAACTTCCCTGACATCATCCACCTACAGAAAGGTAAGGCCCAGTGCAGGCAGGAAACCCATCCTGAGTCTGGCTCTCTGCTGGGCCCTGGGGAGACGGGGATGGCCTGGATAGAATGGAGCAACTCGTCTTGATTTCTCTGTCTCAGTCATTCATCTAACAAATGTGTTGGGCTGGGCATGGTGGCTCACACTTGTAATCTCAGCACTTTGGGAAGCTGAAGTAGGAGCATTGCTTGGGCACAGGAGGAGGAGGCTACAGTGCCAGCCTGGGTGACAGAGTGAGATTCTGCCTCTAAAACAACAAACAAACGTGTTGAATTTCAGCTCTGCATCTGTGTCAAGTGTGCTTCTAGGTGCAGGGATATTGTTGTGGACAGGCCTGGTCTCTGTCCTCATGGAGCTTGATATTTACCTTCTTGTCAGTTCATTCATTTTCTCTGTTTGGATCTTGTTTACCCATCATGCATGGCGTCACGCTGGGTTCTGAGAACACACAGATGACCGGGCCCCAGGCCTTGCCCTCGAGGAGCTGGTAGGCCCTTGGGAGACACAGACCCAGACCTAGATAACAAGAGCTCAGAGTGGGGGCCTGTCTTCCTCTCCTTGCAAGTTCACCTCCCCACCTTTGCAGCGTTGCACCCTTGCAGCTCACCACTATGTGTTCTCTCTGTGAACTTCCTATCTGGGTGCGGGAAGATCCCTGCCCCCATTTTGCAGATGAAGGAGCTAGTGTCCACGGAAGGGTGGTTGTACAGCCTGTGGCTCAGCTGGGACTGTCTCTTCCTCCTGCCACCTCCCCAAGGACACATCCATGTTGGCCGCTTCCCAAGCCTAGCCATGTTTTCAGTTCTCATGACCCCCTCTGTGGAGGAGGGACAGGATGGGCCTCTGCCTGTTAACTGCTGGGGCTGTCAAGGAACTGCCAGGGAAATGACTCATCCCGGGTCACACAGGGGCACCCTGGCTGTGCCAGGGGAGCGGAATCAGGGGTCCAGGGCACTGCCCACATCGTTTAACCAACTCCTGCTTCCCAAGCCTGGCTTCTCTTCTTGCCTAAGAAGAGAGTCAGGGGGTGCCCCAGTAGGTGCCTGAGTCCTGGGGACAGCTGAGAGCGCAGATGTCAGGAGAGAGGTGTGGTCCTCCCTGGGGCTGCTTGGTAACCCGGGGAAGAACGTCTGCAGGGCGTGGAGCTGGCTCTCTGGCCCTTAGGCCCTGAGGTCAGGCCTGGCTTGGTAGGGAGTTTGATTCTGGGTGAGGCCAGGAGGCAGACCTCTGGACTGAGCTTGGGGAATGGCAAACGTCACCCACCACCACCAGGGAGGGCCTGGGGTAAGCTGGCCTTGCTTTCCTTTACCACGAGGTTGACTTCTAGAACTTTTCCAGCTCCCAGCCTCCTTGCTGTATCCTCCTGCTCTTTCCTGCTTTCTGCCATTTTTTTCTTTCTCATCTCTACCTTCCTCCTCCTCTGAACTCCAAGAGACACAAACCTGAGTGCTAGTCTTGGCTCTGCCACTAGGTTGCTGTGTGTCCCGGGGAGTGCCTTTGCCTGTCTGGGCCTTAGTTTCTTGATCTGTAAAACAAGCGAAAGGGGTCCCAGTGAGCTGTCAGGACTTCAGGGGAGTAGATGGGAAGGGACTCCTGGAGACGGTTTGGCTCAGAAGCAGAATGACACCTTAGCTCTGGCTCTGAGCTCAGGGGCAGGAGTCGGGCAGAGGAGGTGGCCAGGCCTGCTGGGGACCCACTGGGGCAGGTGTCTCCCTGAGCAGAAGTGGGAAAGCTGGTTTAACTAGCTCCTTAGATGGCTTGTTCCTGTGCAGGCAGCAGTGGGGAGTGCAGGCAGCACAGTGATTAAACAGATGCTCCCATGCAGTGGCTGGAGACCCACCCCCCGGAGCAGAGCTGAAGGCATTAGGGCAGCCCCACACGCAGGAAGGACACCAGGGCCTTGCAGGCTCAGGCGGAAGCCAGGCTGGCCTTTCTGACCCTGGGCAGAGAGACAGAGCTGAGAGAGGCCATTTCTGAGTTTCTACTTGAGGTGTTTCTAAGAGTCAGGGACCACTGTCCTCTGTGCTGATGTATTTGATCTGAAGCGGAGGCCAGCCCACCTCCTTTCCTCCCTGGTAGAACCTCTCCCAATGGGCCAAGCCCTCTCTGGCTTACTCTAGGTTCTGGGCTCTGCACTGCGCCTACCAGGCCTGTGGTGTGGGGCAAGTTAAGGAGTGGGTATTTCCAGATGAGAATTCTTATCAAATAAATTAATTAATTAAAAAAAAAAAAGGGGGCCGGGCGCGGTGGCTCACGCCTATAATCCCAGCACCTTTGGGAGGCCGTGGCGGGTGGATCACGAGGTCAAGAGATCGAAACCATCCTGGTCAACATGGTGAAACCCCGTCTCTGTTAAAAATACAAAAATTAGCTGGGCATGAGGGTGCACGCTGTAGTCCCAGCTACTCGGGAGGCTGAGGCAGGAGAATTGCTTGAACCCAGGAGACAGAGGTTGCGGTGAGCCAAGATTGTGCCATTGCCTGGGTAACAAGAGCGAAACTCCGTCTCAAAAAAAAAAAAAAAGAAAGAAAGAAAGAAAGGAATGGGTACTGAGACAGAACTGGACAGGTTTGGGACCACAGCCCGACAGGGTGTGATAGTGAGGGGGTCCTATGCTGGCCCTATGGTTGGAGCCCTTCTCAAAGGAAGGGCTCCCAGGATTCTGTCCAGCCTGTCTGGACATCTGAATGGGTGGTGAGTGTGTGGGAGGAAGGAGAGTGGAGGCCTAGGTGGGAGTCAGGAGTTCAGGATTTGGACAAACTTTGCATCTGACATGACTTTGGAAGAGATTTATCCCTTCCGTCTCTAGGTGAGTAAAATGCAGCCTGAGGGTCTTCATTTCCTTTGGAGGGCTCTATGTCCTGTGAAACTTACATTAAACAAAAATATATGCTTTTCAAAATAAAAATAAAATGGGACACAAACCCTGGCCGGAGCTGAGAGGAAGCCCAGAGGAAGTCTGGTCTGTCCACGGGCCTAGTCCCTGAAGCCCAATCCAGGGGTCCCCTAAGAGAAGGATAACCATATAATTAATGGTCTAAACTGGGGCAGTTTGGGGTATAAAAGGGGGCCCTAGCAATAGTGATCCCAGGACAAGAAGGGGAAAGTGACTGTCCAGGCAAGCCAGGACCTATGCTCCCCCGCAACTTGAGAGCCAGCAAGAGCAGGGCTGGTCCTAAGGCTCTTGATAAGTCGGGAGGGTGATGTGGTCACCTCCGTTTTATAGACAAGGTGCAGTGCTGCAGATGAGCCTCAGAGCAGGAGCTGGAACCCAGTGCGTCTGGCTCCGCAGCCCAGGCTGTTTCACTGATGGGGGTGGGGGTCTCTAGGGATGGGCCGCTGAGCCAGAAGGGGAAGGAGAGGGAGGAAGGCTTGGGTGCTCCTTCACTGGTCCCGTGGGCTAGAGATAGGCCCAGGACCACAGAGCATCCGTGGGGGACCACAGGGACAGTGTCGCCAAGGCAAAGTGGCCATTGTAGGGGCAGGTTCTTGCTTGGGGGACAGGTGGGTTCAGCCTCTAGGTATCTGAGCCGTCATCTAGCCCTGTCTCTACTGCCCCTCCTAGGCTTCTGTAAACAAGGAGAATAATACTGGTGTGAGGTACCACCAGCCGGTACTTGCTGTGAGCTCATTAATAGAAAAGCAGTTTGCGCTGGGCCTGGTGGCTCATGGCTGTAATCCCAGCACTTTGGGAGGATGAGGCGGGTGGATCACGAGGTCAGGAGTTCAAGACCAGCCTGGCCAACGCAGTGAAACCCCATCTCTACTAAAAATACAAAAAATTTGCTGGGTGTGGTGGCATTCATCTGCAATCCCAGCTGCTTAGGAGGCTGAGGCAGGAAAATTGCTGGAACCTGGGAGGCAGAGATTGCAGTGAGCCGAGATCAAGCCACTGCATCCCAGCCTGGCAGCAGAGCAAGATTCCATCTCAAAAAAAAGAAAAAGGCAGTTTGTCAACTGTACCATGTAGCATCTGGAGCTCCTATTCTATCTCAGATGCGCTCCTTTGTACTGCGTACATATTAGTTCAGTTAAGCCTCAACTATACTGCAGGGCAGGTACATTTATTATTATCCCATTTTACAGATGTGGAAACTCTAAAGCATTATACCGTGTGAGACGTTGTCAACAGCATCACACCTAGTGCAACCTGTCCCACTGGACAGTGGGGAGACCTGGAACGCAGGCAAGGGCAGTGGCTTGCTGGAGGGGACACAGCTAGGCCTGGGACTCAGACCTCCTGCTCCCTCCCGCCCCCAACCTGGGGTAGATGTTAACTATCTCCGAGAGGTCGGGGCAAGACGGATTGAGGCAGGAGCTTAGCGAACATCTCCAGGACTCTGCAGCTGGTGGCCTCCAACCTCCTTCCCCCATTTTGGGACCCAGCCTGTAGGAGAAGAGCTGAGGCAGGAGCTCCCCCTGCCCTGGGTCCTCAGCTATCAGGTTGAGTCCTAAGTGGAATGTAGTGGGGATGCTGGGTAGGCTTGAGCCCCGACTCCCAGCCTGTCAGGTGGGGTGCATTAGCATTAGCTGGTCCTAGCCTCAAAGCTGAGTCACAGGGTGGAGGGGTGACGGAGAGCAGGGTGGGGCCTCTGTTGCCCTGTAACCTCTGTGGCCTTTGCTCCCCATTCCTGGTCCCCTGCCTGTCTGTGGACACCTAGCCATTGCAATAGGTTCATTCTTACTCTTTGGGCTCATCAGCAAAAGAGGTTTTTCCTTCCTCCAAGGCCATGGGCAGGAAAAGTCTACAAATGCACTTCATGGTGCCAACTCTCTTGGGCAGGTGGAATCTGGGCTAGTTCTGTATCTCCCTTTCAGCTAGGTTCCTTCTGCGAAGTTTAACTCCAGTTTCTTCACCCTCCTGTTTTCTGCCTTTCTTCTTACAGTCCTTCCTACTCCTTGAGACCTTCTTGAATCCCTGTTTCATGTCTGGGGGCCCCACACATATGCCTGAAGGACCTGACATGGGCTGCCTGCAACGGAAGTGGTGTCCAGCCCCCAGCTGTGGAGGCAGGAAGGAGGCCGGGCATCCCTGGCAAGTTCCTGCCTTGGCTTCCGATGTACAGTAGTAGGGTGGAGGTGGAATCGAGGGTCAAACTCCTGACCTTTTGGGCCTCTTCAGTTCTGAAGTCTCCTGCTGGGTCCTATCCTGGGCCTTGGGGTGATCCCCCTGCTGCTGCCCAGGGCTGGTCTGTTGAGATGGCACAGGAGGTGGTCCAGGGAAGGTGGCAGAAGGACTGAGTGAGCTGGGAGCTGGGGACTACACATTTCTTGTTTGTTTTTTTGAGACGACGTTTTGCTCTTGTCGCCCAGGCTGGAGTGCAGTGGCGCGATCCCGGCTCACTGCAACCTCCGCTTCCTGGGTTCAAGTGATTCTCCTGCCTCAGCCTCCCGAGTAGCTGGGATTACAGGCATGCGCCACCACACCCGGCTAACTTTGTATTTTTAGCAGAGACAGGGTTTCTCCATGTTGGTGAGGCTGGTCTTGAACTCCCGTCCTCAGGTGATTCTCCTGCCTCGGCCTCCCGAAGTGCTGGGATTAGAGGTGTGAATCACTGTACCCGGCAGAACTGCATATTTCTTTTGGGTGCTGTGTGAGCAGCCCTGGAGACTAGACTCTCTGAACTTACGTCTGTTTGCCTGTTTGCCTGAAATGCTACTGTTAGCCAGTTAGCCACGCACTTGCCAACTGGCATGGGTGTTGCCCCTTCTAAATGCATCCAGAGTTATTCCCAGCATGTAGAGCCCTGGGCCTGATATACAGTAAGTGCTCAATGAATGCGTTTAGAATGCACTGGACAGCTTGAGCCCAGTGAAGAGAGTATCATCTAGATGGCCCTCAAGAGCCCTCCTTTAAGAGCCCGCCTCTTAAAGGAGAAGTGGGAAGGCATGGATACTGAGCATGGTACCTGTGTGCAGTGGGTGCGTTTTGAAGTGCTCAGGGGTGTCCTGTCCTCTCTGCTAACCCTTCCCACCTCCTTCATCTTTGCACGGTGGATTCCCTGTATCCCTCAGTGCCTGAGCGCCAGGCACCGACAAACTCCCTTCTCTTCCCAGCAACTGTCCCTACTGGCTTACAGGCAGAGTTGGTCAAATGCCTTTGAATTCAGAACTGAAATTCATTCACCAGCGGCTTGTTCATTCATTCAGATTGGTCTAAATTGGGTCCTCTGCGCAGGTTTCTCTCCACCCCCCATCTGTCACCTGGTTGTCACACAGCCTCCTCTAGTTCCCTGGGGGCTGGGTGAGGATGGAACAGAGCCTGCAAGTCTAGGGGACACACCAGGTGGCCTTTGAAGAGTTGTAGAATCAGCAGTGTGATGGGGGTGGGGTGGGGAGCCAGGGGACAGGTGACACGGGGGAGGCACTCTGCCTGGGGACCCGGGAGAGGCTCTAGGGTAGAAGTGGCCCCTGATCGGGGTGTGTATTATGAATAGGAATCCAGGGGGCAGAGGGAGGAAGGTAGGAAAGAGGCAGGTGAGTTTGACGAACATGGGGTCAGTGTGGAACGCATGCAAGGGCCAACTCCCAGAGGGGAGGGCCCCCCAGGGCACGCAGATAGGTGTGGACCTTGCTCTGTAGCAAGTGGAGAGCCAGGAAAGGCGCCCAGCTTCAGAGACCTCTTTAGATGCTGCAGAGAACCTGTCAGAGGCTGGACAGAGGGTGGGGAGACGTGGGACGGATGTGGTAGCAGTCCAGTGAGCGACAGGGTTGAACCAGTTCACAGGCCTGTATCAAGATCTGCCGTGGACCGGGCCTTGATCTGGGTACCAGGGACACAGAGAGGATGGGGACAGTCTCTGTCCTCACTGAATTCGTAGTCCATCAAGCAGGGCTGCGATTGGTCATGTGTGGGCCGCTGGTGATGCTGCAAATTTGGAGGGAAGATGATGTGCTCTATTTAGGAGGTGCTAAGGGTGAAGGCCTGGGGAATATCCTGGCAGAGACACCCAGGCGGTTGGAACGTGGGTCTGGAGCTTGGGCGTGAGGTCGGAGTTGAGCTGATGAGGGTGCTGTCTGCCCTCAAGGGCACACGGAGCACATGGAGATCAGAGCCCTAACCCGCTGTCCTCTGCTCTGCCTGTGCCAGGCGCCTTCGCCAAGGTGAAGGAGAGCCAACGCATGAGTGACGAGGGCCGCATGGCGCAGGACGAGGCAGATGGCATTCGCAGGCGCTGCCGCGTGGTGGGTTTCGCCTTGCAGGCCGAGATGAACCACTTCCACCAGCGCCGCGAGCTCGACTTCAAGCACATGATGCAGAGCTACCTGCGCCAGCAGATCCTCTTCTACCAGCGGGTGGGCCAGCAGCTGGAGAAGACCCTGCGCATGTATGACAACCTCTGACCGTGTGTGCCTGAGCCCCTCCTTCCCCTGGGCCTGGTCACTGCAGCATACCCCACTTTCCTGACCTCCCTGTACCAGTGGTGGCTGGGGGAGGGGTCAGCGGTGGGGAGATAAGCGGTCTGTCCTGCCTCCTGGGAAAAGGAGCTTTCAAGGAGTCATGGGTACCCCTGGGAAATTCCCCACTCCTTAGAAGTGGGGCACAGCAGGGGTGAGAATGGAGCCAGGAGCCCTCGAGGCCAAGGTCTGAGCTGCCGGTCAGCCAGTTAAGGTCAGGCCAGGGTCTCAGCGTCCCCTAGAGCCTATTTTGCTTGCTCACCTGGCCACTGCTGCCTTATCCATTCAGCAGACATCTAGCCTGCTGCACTCCTGGGTCGGACACGGGGCACCCAGGGCTGGGACACGCCTGCTCTTCAGGAGTCCTCAGTGAAGATGGGGGTCAGACACAGAGTCAATGCAGAAACAGACAGAGTCAATGCACTATGACTGATGGTTCAGTGAGGGGTTTCTGGAAGCTCCTAGAAGGGACCACAGCATTCCACTGGTCAGGGAAGACTCCATAGAGTAGGCAACATTTGGGCAGTGCATTAAAGAATGACAAGGACCTGCCAGACAATACATGGGGAGAAGGACTTTCAGGGGAGAGGAACAGCATAGGCAAAGTTACGGAGGCATGAAAACATCTCCCTCTTCCCTCCTTATGTTCCCTAGCAAATTAGGTGCCCCTTCCGTGGGGATTCTGGCCTGTGCAGTAGCAGGAAGGGATCTCCTGTGGTCCCGTGTTGCTGGCTGTCCTTGTGTCACCCTGTCCCCTGTAGGAAGGGGACACAAATCATCTCCCTCCTGTAGGCCTCTGACTCCCCTCCACTTTTGCACCCCCAGCTTCCCTCGGGTGGGTGACCATCGCAGCATCCCTCCCCCCTCAGGACCAAGGTGCTGAGGTGAGCCCTGGGCCCCAGATGCCTGGTGACAGCTTCCCAGAGAAGACTCTCGAAAGGACTGTCTGTCTGAGTTCACCAGCAATAACTCCCCACACTCCAAGCAGGCCCAAACCCAGGATCCCAGGGTCCTCAGCCTCCATGGCACTGTCTTCCCAGATCCTCCCTGTTGCAAAAGGGGAAACCTAAGTGGATAAAGACAGGGGCCTGCCCGCTCCCGTGCGAGGGATTCCGGGCCAGTCTGACCTGGAATGCAGGCCCTTGCTCGGCTTCAGGTTGTGCTGTCTCTGATCTGTGTTTACATCCCTGAGGGGTTACTGCCTCCTCCCTGCCCAAGCCAAGGTGTGGTCCAGCAGCTTGTTAGGGGGTGCTGACCTGTGCTATCACTGGCCTCCCTGCCCTTGGGGGGGGTCATGGTCTCCTTCTGGATGCTGCTGCTTGAATCTTTTTTCTTGATAAACCTTTTACAATTAAGAGAACACAAACATGGTTTTTTCTGTTTGGGTCCCAGAAAGGCAGAAGTGGGAGGATAGAGCCTTAATTGCTCCTTGGAGCCATGGGACCAGATTCTGAGGTCATGGTGGGCACTGATTTACTATGGAACCTCAGAAGTTGGGGGGAGGGCTGTGCGGGTGGGAGGTGCCAGCAGGCAGGGGGAGCTAGGGGCAGCTGTGGATGCCCGGGTGGATGCCTCCCTCCCTAGAACACACTCTTGTCTCTAAAATGGGTGGAGTGCTGCCGAGGGAACTGGCTGTCCTGCCTTGTGATCTGAGGCTGAGGGTTGTATGAAGAAGGGACAGGACGCTGTGCCCCAGGACCATCTAATAGATGGTGGTTCCTCTCCCTAGGGAGCCATGTCCTGGCCTTGCCCTTGAAAAGCCCTAGTCCAGGGAGGGAAGTGGGGGACTCCGAAGCTGCGTCTCTTCCCCAAGCTGTCCTGGGTACCCAGCCCTGCAGAGGCTCCCACACTGGAAACTGAAGAGGACCCTGGCTGTGCCCTTGGGGGTGTCCTGGTCAGGATGAGCGGATCTTGCTCTTGGATCTGTTCATCTGCAGGGGAGAGGAGGGGGCTGGCTGAGACATGGCTCTCCTTTGAAGGCAATGGGGACTTGGTGAAAGGAGGGCTTCCAGGGAAGGTTGGCCAGGCCAGGGACCTGGGAGCTTGTGTAGGAAGATGGGGAAGGGCCAGCAGGTGCAGTGGGGGAAGGGGTGGGCAGGACTCCCTGTTCAGGGCATAGCGTCCTCAGAGGAACTTCTGGAATGGGTCCCCCTGGCCCTTGGTCAACATTAGGTCAGATTTGGGACTTTCTGAGGAATTTTTCCTCTCTCCACCCTGCCCCATTTTCCAACCCACCGAGGAACTTCCCGCCCTTAACCTCTTCGCCGCTCTGCCTTCCCTGTAGGCTTCGGCAGAGGGGGCTCTGAGCAGTGGGGGCTGGGCTCCCCTTAACCCACAGTGCCTGGAAAGTCCCTCCGCTCATGCTTCCTGCTCTGGGAACAGTGTTGCCCTCTGTGTGCCTTCCTTGAGAGGGGGCCACCTCCCAGGCCTCCCAATCTCAGGGTGAGGCTGTCAGTCTGACACTTTTCTCAGGAGGGATTTGGATCTGGGAGAAGCATCAGGAAGTGGAGTCCTGGGATAGCAGCAGGCTGCTCCTCGTATCCTGAGGTCTCAGGGCTGGGGCAGGTGTGTGTGTGGTGGGGAGGGCGGCTGTCCCAGCCCCCCTCTCTCTTTTCTTTCTGCCTCTGTTGGGGTGGGGTATAGGGAGAACTTGGGGCTGTTCTGGGCTAGCTAAGCCCCTTTCAGCAGGGAATTGGAGGACCAGTGTTGGGGGCATCTTGGTGATGGCAGATGCCTACCTTGTCACATGCCAGGCAGATGGTCCCGACTCAGCTGGACCCAACTGCCTCGTTTCCTCCCTCGCTTTGCTCTGAGGGGGTGGAAAACAAGGCTTCTCTTTCTGCCCTGGGCAGCTACCAGTGCCCAGGCTAGGGGATCTCCTGGTCACCAGTCTTGGCCCAGCACAGGAAAAGGAGTCCCCTTTGTGGCCACATGTGGGGGCTGGGGACGGAGGCGGACCTCGGATCCTGCACCTCGTCACCCGCTGGACACAGGAGGGCTATATCCACTGGGCCGTTGCTGCATCACTGGCTGGAGCAGAGCCAGGCCTGGGAGAGGCAGGTGGCACCGTCGGCCCCTGCTCGGCACCAGCCCTCTATCCATGACAGAGCCATATGTCTTCCACGCGTCTACACACTCAGACTCATGGACGTAATCACTCAGCCTCACAACCCCAAGCAGACACAAGCACATGCAGCCACACACCTGCCCACAGGCACGCAGGCCACATAAGCATGGCTGCGTGCTCATACAGTCCCACTGCCACACGCACGCTATTGCACGTTCACAGCCACATCCACACATGCCTTGCCATCCATTCAAAGCACCAGTCTCAGGTACTATGTCATACACAGGCACACCACAGCCCCATGCACACGGTCATAGCCTCACACAGTGACACACACTCAGGCGCACACTGCCACAAAGCCATGCTTGCCAAAGCAGAGGGGTCACAAGCATCGCTGTGCCTGGACTGCACCTGTGCCACCTCCCAGGGCCCCCAGCTCGTTAGCTTCAGGACAGCTTTGTGTGCCAAGCAACCCCTGGAGCAGGTGGCTCCAAGGGAGAGTAGAGCGAGTCAGAAGTGGGCAGGCACACAGCCGGAGAGGTCTAGGCATGCAATTGGGATGGCTGGATGCCACCGAGTTCAGCTCCTCATTGCACAGATGGGCACCTGAGACCAGGGAGCAGTGGTGGCTGGCCATATCACCCAGCAGGGCAGGGGATACTCTGGGGCCAGAGGCTGGCTCTGGGCAGACTCTGTGGCCTGGCCCTGCCCTCCCCTGGGCCAATTATTCGGGAGGCCAGGCTGCCTCTGAAGGCCCCCTGGCTGAACCCATCAAGCAGAGCTCCAGGCAGCTCCCATCTCAAGCTAGAGCCGAGCTGCAGCGGCCACAGGAGCCGGAGCCAGGATGCGGTGGGCAGGGCCTGGGCTGGGGCGGGAGGAACATTCCTGCAGCATCTCCTCCCCAAGCATGTGAGGACCCAGCCCGCCCTGCCCGCCCACCCGCTGACTCAGGCCTCCAGGAGCCAAGCCTGCTCAGCTCCCCAACCCATCCCAAGGTGCTTCCTCACTAGTTCAGCTCCGGTTCTTCTCCATTGGCTGGGGCAGGAGGCCACAGTAAGCCCTGGCAAGAAGACCATGGGGAAAAATGAAACTTCACCACCCCCAGACATGGCTCAGAAGGGCTGATTGTGAAACCCAGCTCTGGAGTTCAGCATAGTTTAACACAAACTGTTTTTTTCGTTTGGCTGGGTTTGTTAGTCAAACCCCGGTGCAGTGCAGTCTGTTTAAGAAGCAGCGCTCACGTAGCTGTGGCCTGGGTCTGCTCAGCAGCATTTATTCCCTTTCACAAGGAGAGACAGAGACTTTGCCAGAGGGAAATTGGGACCTGCCTAGGATGACACGGAGAATCTCTGGCAGGGCCAGGCTTGAACCCAGCTCCTGCCATCACTCCTTAGAGTCACATTGATGAACTCACTTAGGGCCAAAGGAAGAAGGGGAGGCAGATTTCCCCTCTCAAGGAGGGAAAGAACAGGAGGCTGGTGAGCCCAATGGCTGAAATGTGAATGGTGAGAGGGTAGGCTGAGTCCCCCCAGCCCTGAGGGATGAAGGGTCTGAAGATGGCATTGCGTGGTGACAGCTGCAGTGACTCAGGAGCTCCGTTTACGAAGGAACATGAGTGAGGAACACAGCTTCATTTTTTTATATCTGACCTGAATTTCTCTTTTCCTCCCCCATGCCCCACATGGTAGACGTGTAATCTCAAGTCAATTTGGGGACCTCTCCTTTCCCCAGGGACACATAGAACTTTTGGGGATGGCGCATTTGAAGACCTTAAGGAGCCCCTAGCACTTTGCATTTGAAAGGTTGAATCCTACACTCTATCATACATACTACTATTCACTTGCATTCCACATGAAGTGTTCAGTTTATGACTTGACAGTGTCCTGTCTTGTAGAAACTTGATTAAACTGTATTAATATTGATTTTGCCCCTTTCCATTGGTGCACTGCCCCCTTCCCTCCTCCCCGCCCCGCCCCCTCATCGGCACACATTATTATGGGTTGCTTCTTGCAGAACTCCCGGACTCAGACACTGGCGATGGGCCTGTGGTGCCCGCCATGGTCCTGGTCAGCATTGGGCCCTCTGTCTTGCCCTGCTTCCTGCCTTCCCCCTGCTTGCTCCCTGAGGCTCTGTGGGTCCGGCTCCTTCTGTGTTCTTGGGCACTCAGGGCTCCCTCCATTGCCCTGTACTAAGGGGCTGGGAGAGGTCCTTTTTGTGGCCCGTGGTCCCCTCTGGGGCCCGTGGTCCTCATTCCACAGCTCCCACTTTGCAGTCAAGCACAGGGAGCTCTGGGTGCTGCTTAGACACCCCATGCCACCCTGTTTCTTCAGGGGTCTGGCTGCCTTCTTCGTGTTCTACTTGGGAAGCGGGTTTGAGTCCCACTGCTTCAGAATCTCCCCGCCTCTGGGGATTCTACCATCTCCCAGTGCCAGGCAGCACCGTGATGGGCACTGGATGTGCGTTATTTTACAGCCACCCCGTGTGCAAGAGATTATTAGCATCATTTTACAGACCAGGAAATGGGGTCCAGCGAGGGAGGTGCTGGAGCAGCCAAGGCTGGTGTGAAACAGTACCCAGGCCTGGGCCACCTGTGCTGAGAGGCAGATGGCCAGTGCCAGAGCTGGGCATTGGAGGCTGGCTGAAGCCTGGAGGCACCTGGAGCCTCTTCTGGGCTGACCCACACCCCGTTTCTGCCTCTGGCGTTGAGCAGGGGAGTATGCGGCTCCTCCGTATAGCCGTGCTGACCCCAGATAGCAGCGGCCCCCACCCTGACCCCGCCCCTATCCCTCCACCACCCAGAGGCAGGACTTCGGAGTGGCTGAGCCAAGGGCAGATCCTGCCCAGTGCGGCCTTGCTGTAGGGATGTTTCTTATCCTTTCTTTTTTTTGAGATGGAGTTTCGCTCTGTTGCCAGGCTGGAGTGCAGTGGCGCAGTCTCGCCTCACTGCAACCTCCTACTCCCTGGTTTAAGCGATTCTTCTGCTGGCCTCCTGAGTAGCTTGGATTACAGGTGGGCGCCAGCACGCTCAGCTAATTTTTGTATTTTAGTAGAGACGGGGTTTCACCATGTTGGCCAGGCTGGTCTCAATCCCCTGACCTCGTGATCCACCCGCCTCGGCCTCCCAAAGTGCTGGGGTTACAGGCATGAGCCACGGTGCCCAGCCTAGGGATGTTTCTTAACTGCTTCATGCTTCTGTTTCTCCACTGAGAGGGGAGTTCCAGATGGCTGTTAGGAGGGTGACATGCACAGAACACATCATCTGGGCAGTGCCTGCACAGCCAGCGCCAGTGAGGAGCAGCTGGGGTCATCGGCCTCTGAGCCTCTGGAGCTGGCATGGGGAGAGGCAGTGCTAAGGATATTGGTACCTCTACTGCATAGGCTGGAAAATGGACTGGGCAAGCCTTTTAAAGCCACATAGTGGGTAGATGGCAGAGCTGGGCCTGGAACCAAGCCCCAACCACCCCCAGACCTTGGGCTTTGCCCCGTGTTGCCACGCTGCCTCCGTGGGGAGCAGATTCTTTGGGGTCCCTGGGCTGTCATGGTACTTGTCATCCAGGGCAGGAGGGGTCCACTGTGCCACTGACAGTTACATACACCAACACATACAGGATAGCACAGCCCAAGGTTAAGAGAGTCTCATACCCAGTGCCTCCCACACACAGATTCACTGGATGACCTCAGGCGAGATCATCACTCAGTCAGTTTCTGCCGACATCACTCAAGAGATGGTTATCACGATGACACACGGCCGAGAGTTCACGAGTGCGGACACTGTCACTGCCTCAGGGTGGCTGCATCTTCAAAGCCATACGGGTCAGCCGGGCCGGGTGGGCTTGAGGGCACGAGCTACCACTTTTTCAGTCCTACTCTGTGCTAACTGTCTGGAAGGTAGGAACTCCTACTGTCAACATTTTCCAGCAGACGGTGGCTCAGAGGCATTGAGTCACTGTGACATTTTGCACTGTCCTGTGGCAGGCCTGGGATGAGGTCCGCCTGCGCTTGGCGCCGTGCCCTTTCCACTGTACCAGGCTGCCTTTTGAAGGCTGGGGGGCTAGGCAGGGTGGGGGCCACTGTCCTGCCACAGTGTGAACACAGGGGTGCTGGGAATCGAAGGGAGTGAGGAGGGAGAGGGGCAGGTGGCCGTAGGGGGCAGGTGGCGGGTATTGGGTGGAGGTGGCTGTGTTCCTTCAAGTCATTGGGTGAAAGGGCAGAGGGCTTGGCCCACAGAGAGTGCTGAGCAAATATTTGTGGAGAGATAATTTTCTGTAAGGCCCGAGGCTGGGGCATGGGGTCAGGTTCTGGCTGCGGAGCGAGTGCTAGACAGGTGAGGCCATGGGCAGTGATCTGGGGGCAGAAGCAGGACTCTGGTCTCGAAGAACTCAGTCAGGAGCCTCCTTAATCCAGGAGACAGTAAGGGGGCAGGGGCAGTGAAAGCTGGCAGGAAAATGCTGAGACTCGGGGGCTTGTGAGTGCTGAGCCAAAAAGGGGTCTGGCCCTGGGGCTGGGCTGGGACCTCAGGTGGGGCAGGCGGAGGTGGGGTGATGGAGTCTGTGCCTGTGCCTGGTACCCGGAGTGTGTGGACCCACCCGTGTGCTTGCGGGTGCCTGTCAGTGTGTGCATGTGTACCTGCGTGTATGTTGCTGCAGTGGCGCCTGGTGCCTAGAGTCATTCAGCCACACAAGCTTTTCCTCCTGTTTCTCAGCCTGGAAAAGGCAGTTCCTCTCACCTTGAACCTCAGGTCCACCTTGGACCCAAGCCTGGCTCCTCTCTTTCTCTCACACGCCACATCCCATGCACGAGCACAGCCATGTTAGCCCCTCAAAAGAGACCCGAAATCTGATGCTCTCACCCCCCAGGTCCAAATCACTAGGCTTCCCTGGACTATTGCAGCAGGCTCCAAGCTGCCCTTCTGCTGCCTCCCCTCTCCCTAACGATCTAACAGGAGCCAGAGTGATCTTTTACAGAAACATGTGAATGTATGTATATATATGTACACATACACACATACACACACACATATATATATCTATTTTTTTTAGAGACGAGGTCTTGCTATGTTGCCCAGACTGGTCTCAAACTCCTGGCCTCAAGTGATCCTCCTGCCTCAGGCTCCTGTGTAACTGGGATTTCAGGCATGAGCCACTGTGCCTGGCTCAGAGTGAACTTTTAAAACTATATTCTAAACTGGGCGCAGTGGCTCACGCTTGTAATCCCAGCACTTTGAGAGGCTGAGGCTAGTGGATCACAAGGTCAGGAGTTTGAGAACAGCCTGGCCAACACAGGAAAACCCCGTCTCTACTAAAAATACAAAAATTACCTGGGTGCAGTGGCAGGCACCAGTAAATCCCAGCTACTCGGGAGGCTGAGGCAAGGAGAATCAATTGAACTCGGGAGGCGGAGGTTGCAGTGAGCCAAGATTGTGCCACTGCACTCCAGCCTGGGCGACAGAGCTAGACTCCCTCTCAAAAACAAGAACAAAACCAAACCAAACCGTATTCTAAATCAAATCATGTCTCTCCCTGCTTTCAACCTCAGGGCTTCCTGCATACTTAGGAAAGTTTCCAAACTCCTAGCTCAACCCACAGGGCTCCTCCCTGGTCTCGCCTTGGGCCCTTCTGCCCTTCAGTCATGGAACTCCAGACTCACTGGTCTGCTGACTGTTTCCTCTTTCGTGTTTTCTGGGACCTCAGGGCTTTTTCATTGGCTGTCTCCTCTGTCTGGAATGTTCTTCTTCCTAGATAAACGGTGGTTCTCACCTCAGTTAATTCAGGTCCCTGCTTAAATGTCGCCCCTTGGAGAAGCCTTCCCTGATCCTGCAGTCTAAACAAACTTCCTCGTCCCTTTGTTTCTTTACCTTGCCTTATTTTTTCTTTATTTCTCTTATTACCAACTGCCAGTTATAAACCTGCATGTAATTAACTCTTATCTATCTATTTATTTATTTATTTTTGAGACAGAGTTCTCTCTGTCACCCAGGTGGAGTGCAGTGGCGTGATCTCAGCTCACTGCAACCTCTGCCTCCTGGGCTCAAGCGATTCTCCTGCCTCAGTCTCCCAAGCAAATACAGGTCAGACACGGTGGCTCATGCCCAGCACTTTGGGAGGCCAAGGTGGGCGGGTCACCTGAAGTCAGGAGTTTGAGACTATCCTAGCCAACATGGTGAAAATGAATACATTTTGTATTTTTTCTGCTAAAAATACAAAAATTAGCCGAGCGTGGTGGTGCACACCTGTAATCCCACTTACTCAGGAGGCTGAGGCAGGAGAAGCACTTGAGCCCAGGAGGCAGAGGTTGCAGTGAGCCAAGATCGCACCACTGCACTCCAGCCTGGGTGACAGAGTGGGACTCTGTCTCAAAAAAAAAAAAGTTTCAAACGTACAGAAAAGTAGAGAAACAAACATACCGAACCCCATGTGCCCATCTGTTGGCTTCACTTCTCAACACTGGGTCTCTATTTCACTCCCCCACACCTCTTGCCTTCCAACAGACTCCAGCATCACACAGGCTCAGGTGTGGATGATACTTCAGTGCAAAGGTTATATTTTAAATGTAGCTGTTCCTGGTCTGTCTCCCGCAGCAGAAAGCAGCTTTCCGGGGAGGTGGTGTCTGTCTGTCTTGTGCACTGCCAGCTCTGGGCACAGTGCCTGGCTCCCGCTAGGTGACTCAGGAGAGCTGCATGTCTGTGTCTGCAGGTCTCCGGGGAGGGCATGTGTATAGGGGCTGGTTTGCACACGTCCACCACCGTGTCAGGAGTGTGTGCACCTGCACGCGCAGCTGCATGCGGCTGTCCTGCGGATGTGTGTGCATGCAAGTGTACGTTGCCACAGCAGCTGATGGCTAAATGCATGCCTACTCCCTGATGTCATCT